CTGGGCTGGGCTGGGCCAGATTAGGGATGCTGCCACCACTGACTGGCCCAGACCCAGAGGCCAGGGCCTAAAAAGTTAGCAGCAGGAGGGGGAGCAGGAGGTAAGGGAAGCTGACACCAATAGGTGGGAAAGACAGCAGGGAGACAGGCATAGGCACTGGGGAGCAGAGGGTGGGGGTGAGGGGAGGGGGCAGAGGGCAAGTTGCAGAGGCAGTTAGGGTGCTAAATGTTCACAGTATAAAATATAAGACTACCTAAAATAAGTTTTAGATTTTCCAGATAAGAACGTTTTTACAACAAAGGAAATCAAATGACAAGCAAGCGGTAAGAATATCAAGTAACATCTTTTTTTATATGTTATATTTTTTGTACAAAAACTATAATTAAGCCAAACTATTCTGAGGAAGGCACTGGAATGTGGGGCATGGTAGAAAGATAATTTAAAGTGGAACACTATTGAAAGGAGAGTTGTAAATGAAGAATTCAAGTCTGCCACAAACACATTGCATACTGCCTGCCACACTAAACCAGTGTTAGCACATTTTATAAAAATCATCTATTAGAAAAATATAATCAAAAGTTGAAGAGGAAAAATGCAAAAAAGGAATCTTACGAGATAACTGCTCAGCACTCTCTGTTTTGCTTGCCAAGGTAACTCATTAGAATTTACTCATTTTTTCCTAGTGAGGTAATATTTTCCAGCTGCAGGGTGGGAACACACCAGGCTCCCCAGATGCCCTGAGATCCACCCACCAAGCATGCCAGCCCACTACTGTGGATGGAAATTATCAGCAACAGTCTTTTAGCTTTTAAGTGTACTGCCTTGCATTGTGCATCACAGGGCATGTGAACATGAGAAATATTACTACGCTGGGGTTGCAGGAGGTATAAGGCTGGAGGCAAAGAATCATCTGTAGCATTTATAGTCTTAATGTGATAGGAGCATACAGAAGCAATATTCTCAGTACTTATAACAAAATATGTATTTGCCTAGAACACAGTCTGTATTTCACTAACATTAATAAACAAAAAAAAATCTCTTACAAGTAGCCAACAGCTCTTGCAATTTGTCTCCTCCCTTTTCCCAGCTCCTTTTTTCTTGAAGTCTTAAATCCAAACCACTTAACTTGATTAACATACAATTAAATTGTACCTCTATTTGTCTTCAAAACTTCAGTCTTCTACTTACATCTAAGTGCAAACTTTTTATTTACTACCTGTCACTCAGTAACTAATCATTAATGTCGTGGACTTTGGAATAAAAATAAAGTTAACAGAGACAGAATGCTTCCCCATGCGGAATTTTTGGGTTTTTTTAATAATGAAAGGAGTCAAAGTAAGTCAAAATATTTCATGGTCACTTGCTTAGTGACTTTTAGGGAACATACAGTACTTGATGAGAAAGTAAATTCATTAAACTGTGAAGAAAAAGCTTTAAATCGGTCTAACAAAGATCTCAGAACTCTTTCAAAGGTCTTATATAATTCTTTCAAAATGGTTTATATAACGCTTTAAGAAAACTATTTCCAAATCAACATGTTCCTGAGAGCTTATTAAATGGTGCATCACAGGTAGAGGGTTGAAAAAGGCATCTGTACAAACAAGTTTCAAGTACTTCAGATATGGAAAGCCTGAATCCTGTTAATAACAATGAATAGTAGAGGGAAAATATACATTTGTCTGTAAAAACAAAGACTTGGTGGTACATGATGCTCAACAGACCAGGTAGTTTTTATAAACTGCAAATAAGCAGCTTAACTTGACCAGAGTGTATTAAAAAACACGTAAAAAGCTCAGCATTTTCCATTAGAAGAAAAAATGGGTATTTTGCCATTTCCACTCATCTTGAATCAAAGTGTTTTTTATTTTTATTTTTTTTTACATGTTCTGCAAATTAAAAATTCCAAATCTATTTGTTTTCGAAATATCAATTTCCTGACATAATTTTGATAAGGTTAAGCACCTTAAGTAGAATTTTGTATTATAATTTACAATGTGTTTACATCTATATTTTGTGGGCATATGTAGGCCTCTATATGATGCTTGCATATTTCTTACAAAAATCTTTGGATATACAGTACACTAACTGAAACTTTCTTAACAGTATGTCCAAAACCAGATCATGCTAGGACAAGAAATGTAAAACCTGCCAAAACATCTCCACCACTCCCACAATAACTACTCCCCACAACAAAATTATCACCATTTCTGGATCTTATACCTACATCTCCAGAAATGTTATATATCTCATTGAGTGCACTAAATGCCCTGATGGAAAATAGAAGAAACCAAACAACTGTGTACCAGAATGAATGCATACCAAAAATCTATCAAAGACAAAAATACCAAATTATCCGTGGGTACACACTACTCACAACACAACCACTTTCTTTCCAATCTCTCAGTTCTAATCCTCAAGGGAATTTACACAACACCTTTCACAGACAAGCCTACAAACTTCATTTCATAAGCCTACTGGATATAAAAAAAAACATGGACTAAATGGAGATATTGGATTTATGGCACATTATAACCTGCCTGCCATCTGATAACCCCAGGTAACCTTTCTACATTTTAACAGCTGCATTCTATTACTAAGTCAACATTGCCCCTTTCCCCCCACCCCACCTATCTGTCTCACACCTATTGTCTCCCGTGGCCTCTGATCTTCACCACCACACATATGCATTTTCACAGACCTTCATTTTGCATATTGGCTTTTATTCTATCCAGGAGAACACAAAACACCAGCAGACTCTCCCTATTCCTAAAGAAGGATGTTTGTGCCCTAATGCTTGCAAAAAACATTTTTTCTAGCTATTTAGTTGGTCTAATAGTGCGGGGAAGTGCTGGTGGCATTTCTGCTTTTGGTGATTGCTCAGTGATGGGCTGCCGGAGGACCTGCAGATGGGGGGGGGCACAAATGCAAGAATTGGCCCCTAGGTGCCATAGACCCATAGTACACCACTGGGTACAAGCTTAGTACAGAAGCTTTCTGTTTTTAATGAAGGAAGTGAATGTTGGGTGAGAGGGCTGGGAACCAAGGATGGGCTGGGCTGGGAGAGGACTCTCCCCTGGATGAGGGTGCAAAAGTGAGCGACTGAGCACATCTACATGTGTATTTACTGTGGAGTTGACTAATTAGCTCCATAGTAAAGCATCGCTGTCTACATGTGTGGCGCTATTAGGCCACAGTAAACTAATTAACTCAGCCATAGGATAGTACTGCCTGATAGAAGTATATCACGGGGCGGTGTCTAGGAGAGGCCGTGATCTCTCCTAGCACCCCCTACCGTGCCAAGTTGGTGTCAATGCACCCTTGTTCTCACCCGCCACATCTTTGATATTAAGAGTATTAAGGGAGGCTGCCTTTTGTCCTCCTTGGCATGGTACCCCGACGTATTCAAGTCTGTGCCCCGTCTAAGGTGACTCTATGCTCTAATGCCTTAAGGGCAACGCGTGGCTCCTACCACCCCTGATACCACGCCCCAAGCCGCGCAGATGTCCTGGACGTTGTCTAGTCAACTTCTGTGTGTGCCCTCATGGGCACCCCTGGCTCTTCACATAATTGCCCGCGCCCTCACGGGCCCCCTGGGGTTCTCTCACCCTGGCCCAGGCCCTCACAGGCTCTCTGGCCTCTCTCTCAGTGGCCTGCATCCGCACGGACGCTCCCTGGCCTCTCTTTTCCTCACAGTTGCCCGCGCTCCCCGCAGATGCCCTCTGGCCTCTCTCACGGCCGTCTGACCTGTGCCCTCACAAGCGTTTCCTAGCTTCTCTTTTCTCTCAGAGGCCCGCATTCTCCGCAGCCGTGCCCGCACTGGGGCCTGTTTTCGTGATTGGGGCCTCCCCTTGCGATCCTGCCCGCACTGGGGCCCTGTCTCACAATCGGGACTCAGGTGACTGCAGCCGTGCCTGGCCCCCAAATTCCCCTCTTGGGTCTTAAGCGAGTGCCCTCCCTGGGGCTCCTTGTGTGTGCTCCCTCCCTGGGGCTCCGCCCGCACTAGGGCCTTTCTCTGTGCTTGGGGCTCAGGTAGCCGTAGCCGTACCTGGCCCCTAAATCCCCTCCTTGGGTTTACGACTCCTGTGGGGCTCAGGCGGCCTCGACCTTACCTGGCCCCCAATGCACTGTGCCCCTTCTCAGGGCTGGGGGCAGTGCACCCCTCAATGCTGTGTCCTCTCTGGCATTGGGGTCCCCACACCACTGTGGAGCCCCTATGAGGCCTCCTCCAACCCCTATTAGCCTCACCCGGTCCTCCAGTGTAATAACAAACAAAAGCAATAGCATAAGCCAATTGGCTACAACTCAAAACTAAGCCTCCCAACTAAAATGCAAACTCTAAGCCCTCTGGCTAATCATCATTCAAATCCCTACCAGGGCCTTCTCCACCCAGTCCTCAAACCGAAGCCGTTCAGGCCATCCAGCTTCTCTAGGCTGGGTACTACAGCAGAGCTCCTTCTCCCTTGGATGTTAACGGGAAACTGTCTCTGGCCTCAGCCTGGCTTGTTTATATAGGCCAGGCCCTGCCCCCTTCTGGTCAGCTGACCAAACTGCGGTTGCCCTGGCAACCAGCACCTGTAACTCTTTATAGGAGCAGGGCACTTCAGTGTCCTGCAACAAAGTACACTCCTACAGTGGAGTTATTTAGTGCACTGCAACGTACATGTAGATGGTAACTGGAGATGGGTGGCGCACAAGGGAACTATAGTGCAGGGGCTACCTGCCATCTAGCCTCACACTGTAGCACATTTATGCCCCAGCCACCCCCCTGCATTATGTTAAGCTGGGTCAGAGCAGCCCCAGGCTGGCAGCCTGACCTCTCTTCCCCAGGCCTCCTGCCATCCAGGGCTGTGCTGCCCTAGCTCAACATGCTGTGGACCCCAGGACCAATAAATTTTGGTGCAAACTTCACTGGAGTTTATTTAGCCATGCTAATTTCACAGGTAAATGTGCCCATAAGGTGGAATGTTTCCCTGCTTGCTTCTCTGCCAAGGGTCTAACTTTTGGAGCATTGTTTGAGGAATCTGTTGTTTATTACTCACTATCCTATTTTAATATTTTATCTGTTTTTATGATTTATTTTCCTTTTTATTGTAAGCTGCCCAGACCCTTTTCTAGGGAGGGTGGGATATAAATCTAATAAATAAATAAAATAAAATAAAGGCTGCATCCTGATATTTACCTATTGCCAATAATAGTATAATAAATTTACATTCTAAGCAGTGTGTGAAACAGTAGTTATTTCAGGCCATGAATGAACAGACCACAGCTGTAATAGCCAATGCATGTTGGTAGAACACAACAGGATACCCACATTTTAATTTGAGGAAAAAAAAGTCCAAAGAAATGACTCACACTTGCATCAAGGCTACAGATACTGATCGTATCTTCATCTTGGCTACACTGCTTCCGTTTCTTCTGCAAAACAAAAATGAAACAAAATTTCAGAAATTGGTTAAGATTAACAAGTTACCTTGAAAAATGGTCAAAAGTTATGTAAAAAGATATCACAATACAATATATAAATACTTTGTTCACTTTATAGATTTATTGATAGTTCCCAAGAAGATAAAAGCCATTTACAGCTATTAGTTCTACATTAATTAATTCAAGTGCCACCAACAATAAAATGGAGGATAACTGAACAATTAAAATAATAAAGTCTTAATTGATCTGCAAATTCAAGGCATTATTTTTATATCCTACTACTCCTCCTCATCCCTCCATCCAGAGGCGACCTAAGCAGGGTGCGGGGCCCAAGGTAAATCAGCCCACACGGGGCCTCACCGCCACTCCAATCCCACACACCCCAGACCTGAAGAAGCTGCTGCTGCAATCAGCAGTGACTGCATCAGCAGTGGGGGAAGGAGGGGAGGGTAGCGAGCGGCTGAACCTGAAGCCAGAAGCACAGGGTCACCATGGGCGCTCTGCCCAGCTCCACGGAGTCCCCCAAAGCATGGGGTCCGGGGTGGTCACCCTGATTCACACCCCCTCCCCCCGGGACAGCCCTGCCTCCATCCTTTGGTGCCATGTCACATAGAGTAAGTTTAGTTACAAAACCTTATTTTAGGCATAATTCAGCAGTAACATAAGAATCAACCACCAGCCCAAACCTGCCGTGGCTACTTTTCTCTTAAAAGCCATCAGATGTGCAACCTTCATATGGGCATCCACCAAAAACCTAATTTGAACCTTGCATCAAGAACATGGAAGCTGTCACAATAACATCTCTTTAGGAATATAAAAACAGAAGCTGTAATTTTAAATTTGAACATGACAACCAAAAAAAAAGAGCTCAGACACTGAGTAGTCACTTTACAACAAATACAACTGAATCGTTAGGCATTAAATCTAATTTCCTATTTTCTTCACTTAAATGGAAATACTAAATACATCTTGAAGATTTAAAAAAAAAAATAAGAACAAAGTGTATTTTATAGCTAAACTTCTGTGGAAGTCACCCCTGTGCAGACAGCCAATATGAGACCTATGCCTTGCATAAGGCTTCAGAGCTGTGTTTAAAGAACACCTTAAATAATGTACAGGCCGAGGGTTAGACACCTGCACAGATTTTAAGTTCATGGCTTGTGAAATATACTTTTCCTCCTGAAAATAGCATTTTAACAACAAATAGACACTAATGTATTTATATATGTACCAATATTTACTCAAATACAAGACAAGGTTTTCCCCCCCAATTGGCATAAGAAAGCCCTTTGTCTTATAAATACATACAAGAAAATCTCACTATATACCTTGTTTATCATTAAACTGCTACCAAAAGGACCATGTGTTCAGCAACTGCATACAAGGAAATCTCACTAAATACATTACCTATCATTAAACTATTGCCAAAAGTAGTATGTGCTCAGCAATGGAAACCAACCATGAATTTGACTGAATACAGCCAACACTGAGCATGACTATAAAACACATGGCCAAAAATGTAGATGGGAACCTACCCTTTTTTTGCTTTTTTTTTAAAGGACATATTTTCATGTCCCAGGTCAAATTATCCAAATCAGGGCAGTTTGAATCATTCAAGAACCATATGTGGTCCTGCTACCGGCAACTATCCTCCACCCCAGCCTGTGGCTTCAATCTTTTGGCAGGCATCCTATGTGCAAGCCAAAGCCTAGAGGGTTGGGGTTCAGATGCCCCTGAGTTTTGCTTGCCCTCAGCTATATGGCTGCATAAGCAAGCTAGGGAGCAGTCTCCCATTTCCATATAGTTGGCGTGTAGCTGAGATCCTCCCACAGGAAGCTGGCTACTGGGAAGCTAACTATGAGCTGTCCACAAGCAGACAAGGGTGCAACCCTCCACTACACAGTGCCATTTTAATTGCATCACCTTGGTCATGGGATTTCCCAACGCCAGAACCTAACACGTTTTATTTGTTTTTTAAGGAAAATTTTTCATGTCCCAAGTCAAATCAGCCAAATCAATTCCAAATCCATGAATCATTCAAGAACCATGTGTGGCCCTACTACCAGAAAGCATCCTCCATCCCTGCCTGGGGCTTCAGATGCTACCAAACCCTTTGGTGGGAGTCCTACATGCAGGCCCAAGCCAGGAGGCTTAGGGTTCAGATGTTCTCGAGTTTCACTTCCCCTCAGCTGTATGGCCACAGAAGCAAGCTAGTGAGGAGTCTCCCATTTCCATAAAGGGGAAGTGGGAGTGAGACGCTAACTATACACTACCTCAGTCCAGGTACAATCCCCACCAAGGAAGTGGGTGTCCCCTGCAAGTAGGAAAACCACCTAATTGGTCATGGTATTTCCCTTCCTAGAACTTACCTTTTTTTCTTTTTTTTTTAATGAAATGTTTATGTTCCAAGCTAAATCAGCTAAATCAAGTCCAAATCCATGAGTCAGTGCAAAACCACAAGTGGCCCTACAACTGGCAAACATCCTTCACCCCAACAAGGACTTCAGATATTTCCAAAGTCTTTTGGCAGGCATCCTATGTGCAGGCCCAAGCCTGGAGGCTTGGGATTCAGATGCCCCCAAGTTTTGCCTGCCCTCAGTCATATGGCTGCAGGAGCAAGCTAGGGAGGAGCCTCCCATTTCCATAACATGGGCTTTAAGCCCCAACACCTCAGCGGGTACTAAACCATGCTGGAAGAAGAGTTATCCCTGGGAGCACTTAAGAAAAACTGCCTTCACGGACTCAGATATATTGTGTTTCCCTTGCAGGTAAGTTTCTCCTACCAGAACCCGCCACATGAATTGTAGCCCATCTAAATGGGCTACAATTGGACATATGGACATATCGTAATGCCCATTAAGTATGGTCCCCCTGAATGCTGACTTTTTTTTTCCAAGTGATGGTGAGCAGTGACACTGTATACATTTGGACTTCCTCTTCATTCCCACAGCTAGCTGCACCTTTCTTTCCCATTTCCAACTGTTCCTGTTTCTTCACCAGAATTAAATGCCTGGCAAACATCATAAAATGGGGACCCAAACAGTTCACCCCCTCTCTCAGCCTGGTGTATATGATTAATGTGGCTGTGCCCTCCATGGGCGCATCCACACATGCAAGCATGTGCGCTTGCAGCAGCTCAAATAGAAGCAGTACAAACTTGAGCCAGGGCTTTTTGCCTCAGCACATGCGCTCGGACATGCACTTCGTTGAGAAGCAAATTGTGCCACTTGGAGCAAAATAACCCTACCTGGCTCCTCCCAGATCTGCAGCCAGGGGGAGCTAGAGCCTGGGGCCAGGACCTGTGCTCTCCCCAACAGTATAAAAAGCTGCCCTGACAAGCAGCTCAGGGCTACTCGCTCTGAGGAGCTTCTGGGGCCCAGCCAATTGGTACCTGGGGACACTACCCCTTGTGCCAGCTGGACTGCTGCAGCAGCATCCCAAATCCATTCTGAAATAATATCCCAAAATCCATGTTTTTCCACAATTAACACAAAAAAACACTCTACACACAAACACACACACACACATTTGGAGAGAGAGAGAGAGCAATCAGTTGGGCAATGCTTTATTGGTATATTTACAACAATTTAAAGCAATGTGGAAGCCTACCAGTGTCTCTGTCATCATAATAAAATAAATTCTAAATAACTATATGTGCACATGATGGGTGTGTGATGGGGGATGTGGTGTTTGCAGGAAGGGGGTGGGAAAGGGTGTGTGTATGTGGAGGGCTGTGGGTTGCTGTGCTGGGGGGATTGTGGGTGTTGGGGACCTAGTAGGGGGGCTGCTCAGGAAGGGTGGGTCCCCTGACCCCAACAGGGTGCCGCCCCCCTCACACAGCACATGGAATGCGCCCCCCACAGGGCCCCAGCTCCCCCCTGGAGGGCCACAGTCCCTATCCCCCACTGGGCCCCAGCCTCCCCACCCAGGGCTCCAGACACCCTAGAGGGCCCCAGCCCCCCCGCCAAGGGCCCATAACTTACCTTTAGCAGCAGCAGCAGGAGTGGAGCACTCTGAACCAAGGCAGCAGGACCCGGCACAGCACATGGGGGCTGTGTGCTGGGCCCAGCAGGGTCCTGCCACCCTCAGGGTCCCTCTGCCACCTGGCCGGGCTGGGCCCATGGCGGCAGGACTGATGCGGTGCATGGGGGCTGTGTGCCAGACCCAGCCAGGTTCTGCTGCCCTCGGGGCCCCTCTGCCACCTGGCCAGGCCGGGCCCATGGCAGCAGGACCTGGCATGGCTCAGCAGGACCAAGAGCAGCCCCAAGGCCAGCATGACCTGGCAGGCACAGTGCACGGTCCCTGCATGCTATGCTGGGTCCTGCTGGGCAGGGGTCGGGAGTCTTGGGGGGTGGGGCTTGTGGAGGGAGGGGCCAGGCATGGCAGGGACTGGAGGTCTGGGGGGGCTGGTGGGCAGAGGGGCTGAGCAGGGCAGGGATTGGGGAGACTGGGAGAGTGGGTGGGGCTGGTGGAGGTCCCCCAAATGGTCCCTTCCCCCTCCTCCAGCCTCCCCAGCCCCTTACTGCACTGGAGCCCTGGTGCTGAACACACGGCCTGGGTGGCCGTGTGTTTCAGCACCAGGGTAAAGGGCCAACCACAGAGATGCTCTAGCAGCCAGAGCGTCTCCCTGGAGGACCCAGCCTCTGGTTGCCTCAGGGCACAGTCCAGGACCATGCCCTGCCCCGCTTTTCTTTACTTTGTTTTTTTAGACCCCTGGATATCCAGGGGTCTAATTTTCTCCCCGCGCTGCAAACTTGTAGCGCGGGGAACTTTTTTATTCCCACACATGCATCTTGCCCCGTCTCAAAGGAGTTTGAGATGGGGCAAGAGGCACATGCCCACTCATCTGGATGCACCCCATGAGGTGAAGCTGGACCAGATTGCATAGACAGAGGGAGAAAATATTACTTGGGGGGTGGGGGGGGGCTGCCGAGGGCATGCATCAGCACAAGAACTACAACTCCCATGGTGCTCTGCATAGTGCAACACATGCCCGGTTAGCCTCTTCTTCCTCAGCCACATGGAGTGGATCACTAAACCCATATAAGCCCCGGCTTTCTGCCACCTGTGCCAGGCTGTCATGCACCTCATCTGCATATAAATTTCTGGAGAATCCCAGGACTTGTGACGAGAACACCTGGTTCTTGTCATGAGTGGGGGCTAGTTAGCACACGGATCTATTCAAGATGCTGAAGGTGGTGGTCCCCCCAATTTTCATTGCAGGGATAAAAACAATGTAGACCAATGTGAGCAGCAGGGTGTTGATGAATGAGTTTCTGACCACCACAGTCAGGGTGGAGCTGGGCATCCAGCCCACTCTCCCCAAGCTTGTTCATCTGCATGATGGACTCAAGTTAGACTGTTCTCAGTGGTGGCAGATGACAGAACAAGGAGCAATGGTCTCAAGTTGCAGCGGGGGCAGTTTAGGTCAGATACTAAGAAGAATTTTGTCACTAGGAGGGTAGTAAAACACTGGAACAGGTTACCCAGAGAGGTGGTAGAAGCTCCATCCTTGGAGGTTTTCAAAACCCAGCTAGACAAAGCTTTGGCTGAGTGGATCTAGTTGGGGATTGGTCCTGCTCTGAGCAGGAGGTTGGACTACATGACTTTCTGCGGTCCCTTCCAACCTTATCTTACAAGAGAAGGCTGAGGGGGGATCTAGTGGCCTGTTACAAACTAGTCAGAGGGGACCAGCAAGCATTGGGGGAAGTCCCTGTTCCCCTAAGCACTACCAGGAGTGACTAGAAATAACGGTCACAAGCTGGCAGAGGGTAAATTCAGATTAGACATCAGGAGGTGCTACTTCACCGTCAGGGCGCCTAGGATCTCGAACCAACTTCCAAGTGAAGTGGTGCTGGCTCCTACCTTGGGGGTCTTTAAGACAAGGCTAGACAATCACCCTGCTAGGGTCGTTTGACCCCAATACTCTTTCCTGCCATGGTGGGGGGTCGGACTTGATGATCTGCTCAGGTCCCTTCCGACCCTACTAACTATGAAACCCTAACTTTCTATGATTCTATGGAACCACTGGCCCAGAGGCCCAGGCAAGACCCTGGGGTACATGGAGTAGAGATCCCCAGGGTCAGAGCAGGGCAGAGACAAGGGTCCTAGACTACATAGATAATTTCAACGTCCTGTGCAGGGACAAATGTTTGGTGGAAAGGGTGTTGCAACATGCCCAGGTGTATGAAGCAGTGGCAAGGGCCAAGCTCAATGTGAGCAAAGGCAACTGCTTGGCACTGGGAAAGGTCAGGGACCTGTCTACCCTGGGAGTCTCTGTCTCCCATGAGGGGGTAAAGATCCTTGGGGTGGAGTTCGACTCAGAACTAACAGGCCAGAAAGCATGAGAGAAAACTGAGCCATGGTCAAACAAACTGGGACTGTGGAATGTGTGCTGCCTGTCAATAGGAGTGCAGGGGACTCATGAGGGCAGTGTTGCTACTGGTGCTTCTGTACCCCACACTGCTCTTCCCCACCTCATGGCAAAATGTCCATAGAATCCAGAGGGCCAGATGTGTCTTCATCTGCACTCCACATAGGAGAAGGGCCACACCATGTAAAATGAAGCAGACCAAGGGCTGAAGAATGCCAGATGTTCTGCTGTTTCTCTGGGCCAAGCGGATGAGCCAGATCTCCAACATGGCAACTGGGGAAGACTCTAAAAAAGCCTGCTTTGTGAAGTTTTCTGCAGAGCACTTGCTGCAATACCGGGGAGTGTATGTATCACTGTAATAGTAAAAGCTTTGCTACAAGCAAGAGTTTTGCACACTGTGCTAAGAGCAAGAGTTTTGCATGCTGATTTTATAGTAGGCTGGTGAAGTGGCACATAGCTTCTTGCTCTGTGAGCATGACTGAACTATGAACTTAGATAGTAGAATGTTGTAAGACAGTAGAATGTAGTAAACACCAAGTGCATTAGATCACGACTCATCCCCAAATTCCTAGCTTGAAATAACCAAATCCTTAGCTCGAGATAACGTTGTTTACTCCAGACTATATAAGCTGTACATTAAGTTACGACAAGTTCCTCAGCTCTGGCAAGAGTTCTGACTTGCGCGGAGCCCCGGCACAGGCTATCGCATACCCGAGATTGAGACACTCTGGGACCAGAGGAATCATGCAGGGTGGCGGCTGCCGCCTAAGGCCAATGTGAAGTGACCGTCCTCTCTGCTCTGTTCTATCGCCTGCCTCTGCGAATATCCTTAAATAAAGCTTTGCAAGAGTGAAAACAACCATGAGTACGTCCTTTGTTCAAGCGCAGAAAATCTTCTGAACCCAGTAGTTCATTCTAAAACAACCACCTAACAGGCATCCATGGGCCTTGGAACCACTGTGGTTTTACAAGGTCCTGAAGCACTTCTGAAACAGATATGAGCTACAAAACAAAGCCCTGGTGACCTTGACAAACCACCATAAGATGCAAAGGACAGACTATCACCTGTGGGCGTACTCCCCAGCAACAGTTGCAAGGCTGTGTGGGAGTGAGTCTTCCACAAGGACCTGCAAAGGAGCACAGGGATTAAAAGTGGCAGGTAGTCCACTGGGTATTCCCTGTGCAGACATTGAAACACAGAGAGGGTCTCTTGCCTGCCCCACACAAATCTGCTCATAGAAGGAGGATACAAATCAAACACCTCCTCTGGAGCTGCCCATATGACAGGGAAGTGTGGGGGAGAGTAACCATACTCCTCCTAATGGTGACAGGGGTCAAGACCTTGACTCTCTGGCCACCTGACCAATCAGCAAGGGACCCCAACAGCCCACTTTGACCATTTCATCTCTTGCTTCAGCAATGCCCTGTGAAAGACCAGGACCCTGCTCATGAACAGACACACAAACCTCACAGTTGAGGACTTCGACAGAATGGGAGTGACTAAGCTGCAGGTATCCTACAGAAAGACAGTAGGACATATGGAAGAGAAAAGGCTGGCACAGACTGAACAAGAACTGGGTTGCCAGAGAGAACAACAACAATGACCGTGATGAGTGAAAGGACTGGGGGGAAGTGGGAGGGTTGGGAACAGGGTAGGGCTCACCAAAGCAGTTTTTCTGTGCGATTGTGATGGGCAAAGGAGATGCTGACAGGCACACAGACACACAGGTGAGCAGTTGTGGTATTGTACCGGGATGACGATAGTTTAACTTTATATGTGTTATGGAATGTCAAGTGAACCAGATCAGCCAGAGGACAGAAGTGAGTGTGTATGTGTGTGTATGTAAATATATATTTTTTGCAACAAAAAATAGTTTAATTAAAATCTAGGGCATCTGAACCCTAAGGCCTCTGGGCCTGGGGTTGCATGTAAGATGCCTGCCTGCATTTGGGGAGTATCTGAAGCCCCAGACTGATGGGTCTGGGAGGGAAGACACTTGCCTGGTAGTAGAGCCACACAGACTTGATGATTGAGCTCCACTCAGTTGAATTTTGGAACTTGACTACTAAGCTTTGCCTAACTGAATTTGAAATTGCTTTGGCCTTGAAAAAACTTTTTAAAAAAAGTTTGTACTACATATAAGTAGGTGTCAAAGTGTTGTTCAAAAGTGTGTTTGTGGATTTCCTGTGCTAAAACTTGCAGCAGTTTGAAGAAAAGGTAACATGCATTTTCACTGCTGTAGCAGCTGGAGGGGGAATAAATTTGAGGCTATCTTCCAATAATTAGATTCTATCCCTGGAAAATTAAAACAAACTTATACATTTTCTATATATAGAATTTAAGTATGGGGCGAGGGGGGGTTATCTTGTAATCGGGGATATCTTCAATTTGAATAAATATGGTATTTATTTTGCATGATGCATCAACTCAAGCTGTGACCCAAGCTTGAAACTAAGCCAATAGGTAACGTGTTATAACTTTTTTATTATTTCTTTTGCATCAGGCTGCTATCTTATACAAGCATTACAAATTTTAAAGCATTGCTCAGTGATTCATTTCTTTGTTCTTGGTTGTTTCCTGGGAAATAATGAAGTAAAAATATCCCTATATTGGAAGGTTTTAGAAAGCATCAAAAGTCATTCCATAAAAATTAAAACACCAAAGGAACTCCTGTTCTATTCCAATTCCAACCAATTGAAATTTTCTTCTCTCTCATTAATCTCATGCTGCAGGCAAACAAGCCAAAATTCATCTCTAAAACTCTAAATCCTTTATCACTGCTTCCTAAAATCTCCAAAGTATTCTGAGCAGCACCAAATAGATATTCTAGCACTATATCCATTTGCCTGACTGGATCCTGATATAATATCCAAATTTCCTGGGCTTATTCCAATTCGGAACAGGTGATCAACTTCATAAGCATGTTATAATTTTCCATTTAAATGTCTGCCTTAATAATGTATATGGTTGTTTTGACTTTTCTCTGTAATCTAAATCATCTTTGTTTTTTCCAAGCTCTGAGTCTCTCTGTGCAGACTCAGAATCTTGAAGAAATGTGTCAAATTCATCAATGCTTTTTGAGATCTGAACTATAAGACAATGAGCTTAATGCATACTTATTGTGACCTAAGAGTTTAAGTATTCAGTACCATAAAACTGTAAGGCTGGCTTAAAAACCACAGGTTTAAAACCACAGTTTTAAAATCTACAATACTTTGTTTGCCCTTCTTCTGCCTCTATGGGGTATGATATTTACCTCCACAGCCATAAAGGCTAGAAACTTTCTTTTTTTTAAATAAAAGATGAGATTTTCAAAGAATCACTGGAGTCAAGTAAGTTGGGCTTGAAGAAAATCACCAACAATCACCAGGAACTGGCAATACTGTTCATGCCTTGAACTTAGAGCAACTTTCTTCAGCAACCTACACTGTTCTTTTGGATCTGTTCTTTATTAGAGAAAATGGAGCAATGTGGTCCCTCATTTAAAATTCCTTTATGTTAAGTTATTCCTAAAAAAAACCCTAGAATTTGGTGATATCAAATGTGCATGCAGACTATGACCAAAGAGATGAAGACATCACACATTATTATGGTTTAGTTAATTATGACAAAAATACTTGGAACTGTTGTACTACTGCTGAAGATTACCAGTAACACTTTAAAAGGGCTTATGTCGCTTTGGAACTAGGACTTAGGTTCACTTCAAATAAATTTTATTTTTAAGCAAGAATTACTGAAAAGTTTGTATATTGTGTATTATAGCTACTACAGTATAAAGTTTATATATTAAAATTACTTGAAATAAAAGGGAAAAAAATGGTGCATTTTGCGCAGAAATGACATTCTTTCAAAACATAATTTCAACAATCAAGTGTTAGCCCAAGAGTCAATAAGTCAAAGTTCAAGAAACAAGTGTAATTTTACTACAGAAATTAATGCAAGTATTTCAGGATTCCAGTATACAAATCAGTATTCTCTCATATATCCACTTCCTTCTTTTGAGAGACAACAGAACTCTTCTGAGGTCTTCCCACAGGTTTCTCACAAAGAATACCCTTTGTGCTCCATCACAAAAGTGTGAAGAATTAATTTTACGGAGTTCTTTCTTTGCAAGTGATACAAACTTATATAGGAAACAAGAGATTTCAGTACACATGATCCTTATTTATCCAGCTGTGTTGTCTTCCTCTGTTAAATAGAGATAACAACTCACATACAATAATAGCTGAAGATTTGGTTTCCGCTCTGTAAATGCTGCTGAAAAAAGTGATGAGCAACTTTAGAGGACTAAAAGGAAGAAAGAAGAGATGCCACAGAAGGCCTTAATTTTGTGGGAGAGCCCTAGTTTGAAAAACACTTTCAGTCTATGTCTCTCACTCACTGAAGTACTTGAATATCCTTTTAAAAGAAGTTCCTGGAAGCAGTAACTACTTTTACATTCTTAATGTTCTGCACAATTTTATGGCAACATTCAGCCTGTACTCCTCAACAACAGCAAACATAAAGGCCTATAGAGGAAGCTAACGTCTGCCTTTTGGTCAATTATAAAGTAATAACATGCCAGCTGTTTTGGAAAAGAAGATACAAGAATAATATAAATAATAACAAAGCTGAAGAATTCAACCCAGAAGAACTACCTCCTAAGACCTATTCTTTTAAATAACTGTAGATGATTGTCAGTACTCATCAGTGAGGAACTTCTGACTATGACTACACTTGGAAAAAATGGGTACCGAATGCATAAATTTAGACTTTATTAATGTGCCTTGGTTCACATGTATACTACCTCTGTGCTTTAACATGGGGCTGCCTGCTGATGGGAGGTTTTGAGCAAGGCAGATGGGGATGTCTGTGGGCTGTTGGTGCTCAAAACCTCCGATCAGGCATCTTTAGCAGACAAGAATAAGGAACATCTGCAAGCATTTCATGGACTACTACTGATAGCATTGATGGAACAACTCAGAATTTGGGAGTATTAGAGAGTGAAATTTCACAAAAATAACTTCTTCAAGAAATTGCAAAATGTAACAGAAAAAGTGACTGTTTGTTCCCTGCTCCCTTATTACTATGTAAACTCAAACAATGTATTCATTATAGCCAGAAAAACACCAAGCAGGGTAGATTTTTCAAGAGGACAGGAAAACCAAATGTTTTACTTTAACTTTACAGGATCTTAAAATATAAGTGTGGCTGCTAACATATACAACGTATCCACACTAAGCCTAAACAGATCTGTGAATTGCCTAAATATAAAAAAATACAATCGTGCTGTTTCTAAATCTTCCGTGCAACTTAATTGAAAACACACTACAAGTTTGTGGTCAAAGGTCTTCTCAAGCTCACAGGTCTAGTGTGACTGAGGCACAGCAAATCGAGGTTGAGGCTATAGCCACCCCACTAGGCAATGATCACATTCAATCTCCTTTGACTCTCTAATCCAAATAATAGCATACCCATTTGCAGCTGGGTCAGTGGAGGCAACCTTTGTCATAAGTATGGCGCAAGGCTCAAACTCATACCTCTTCTGGAATCATGCTTCTTAACTTGGGTGACCATAAGGAAATCTGGGACATCCAGAACACTGCCCTGCTCCCACTCCCCAAGTCAGCAGTGCTGCTTCAGGCAGTGACAGAGGCTGGACCACAATCTGGCAAGGAGGCAGGGCTGCCTGGCACACCATGGTGTTTTACCTCTCTGCTGGACTGTGCTTCATGCCCATGCAATTGCAGGACTCTCATTTTAATGCTGACCAACTGGCCAGGAATAGTCTTTGAAATCTAGGACTGTCCCAGCCAAACTGGGACATATGGTCACCCTATCCTTAACTGCTCTTCTGATGCACTTCATAGAGGTCATCT